TTTTTTTTTTTTTTTTTTTTAAACATTTCAGGCTCCAACGAATAAATCTAAGAATATATAAAGAATATATTAATATTTAAAAGTTTTAAAAACTAAGACTATACTTCCATTTATTTAAAAGATGTATCTTTTAAATAAATCGAAGTTTGTACCCATACATCCTGTGCTGGCTCAAGTAAAGTTTATACATTTTTAAAATTTTTAAATATTAAGCTTTAAGTGATTTAAAATATATAGAGAAAGAGAAAAAGAGAGAGAGTTCAATATTGTTATATTACAGCAACGCAGTTTTCTTTAATATAATGGCTGCGTTCAAAGAAAAAAACAACTTTACAATTATTGTGTTTCTTCAGCTGACTTAATGTATAAACCAATCATATTAAAAAATCATATTTTTTGAAAAAACTGATCTCATTTTTTGAAAAAAAAAAGTGTACTTGTGAATAATAAATTATACGTAGATGGACTGTTTGGAACAATAGATAATCAAATTTTTTATCATTGAAATAACTTCGAACACAATTGTATTCTCTTTTAATTGAAATGAAACTGTTAAAATAAACTATGTATCTTATATATACAGTATAAATAAATAAACGTATTTTATATATAGTAATAAAAAAATTAATAAAAGACATTTATAATAAATGCAACAGAACAATAATAAATTATTTTGTATTATAATTATAAGTATTTATATAAATGGCAATGGTATCTTATTTTATGCGGTACTTAGACTGCTTTTCTTTCAGGAGACACAAACATCGTTCCATTTTTCTCACATTCAATAAATAATGAAGAATGTTCATTGACTGTGTGTCCTAAAAAGAAAGCAGCCTTAAACTGTCTATCTATTTTTAAATAATATTAAAATTACTTCTAGAATGCCGAAATTATCGGAGGCATTAGATAACGAGTCGTCACCTAAAAATCGATCTGCAAAATTGAAAGACAGTCAAGAGCAGCGAAGAAAACAGCAAGTGTTTTCCCGAATGCAGGTTTTATTGTTCCGGCATAAGGAACTTCTTAAAAAAGATATTCTTAAAAAGAGAGCGTTACTCGAGAAAGAACTTCAAATTGATATACAGGTAATGGTAATTATAATTATTAATAAGTAAGTAATAAGTCATATTTTAAGTTGTAACTTTATGTAATGTAATAATTTAAATGAAATCTATGTTATGCGCAGTTCCATACATTATCGAATTAAACTTCAAATCATATTTTGTCTCGTGAGCTGCAATATTTATTCAGTTTGTTGTAAATCATCATTTGTTTAATTTGTGATTTGAATTGTAACATTGCTCAAAATTTATATAACTTTATTTTGCAACATCTTTTAGCGAAACATTATTTGTGAGATGTTGACAAATTGAATAATATAATATCGAAATGTTTGCAATATGTATTCGTTTAATAATATGAACACTAAATGGTTTAATTAAAAATAAAAAAAGATACTTTATTACTAAATTATTTTGAATCAAGAACCTTAAATATTTAAAAAAGTACAAAAGAAATAACATTTTATAACAATATATATATAAATATATATAAATATGTACATAGAAACACAACTTTATTTAAATTGGAGATAAGATCGTGAATTAATCCTTTAGGATTAGAATATTGTCGGGATTTTCATAAAACGCGAATAAAAATTTTTGCAGAAGGACTTGTCAGCGGAGCTCGCTACAAGAACAAAGGCAGAGAGACACAAGCAGGATGAAGTAAAGGTTGGGAGTGCGAAGCGAAAAGCTAATGCTCAAGTGGCTCAACAGGTTAGCCCGTCCAATCGGAGTAGTAGTAGCAGACCGAAAAAACATAAGAATCAAGGTAATAGTACGACGCCTCCTGGTAGTTCGACAACCACGACTCGCATCAAGAAAGAGAAACTGTACTGTTTATGCAGAACTCCTTATGATGAGACCAAGTAAGAGCATAAGATTATATAAGCCTGATTGAATTTTTATCAATGTATATTTGTTCTTCGTTGTGTTTTAAAATTATATAATTTTATTTTAATCTCTCTCATGAAATATAATGTTACGAGATCTTAATTTCATTTGCGATATCCCTGATCTGAAGCTCACGGTCAACACTGTGAAGTAGAGAATCATAGTATCAATAAAATATCTTTTTAGTTAATTCCATTATATTCAAATTTAAAAAAAAGATTTAAGATTTTAATCAATTCAATCATAAATATATTATATATAAAATTATACAAATAATTTCTCTTTCTTTAAAGATTTTACGTGGGATGTGATTTATGCAATAATTGGTTCCACGGTGACTGCGTGGGTATAACGGAAGAGATGAGCAAGTCTTTGTCAGAATTTGTTTGTACAGAATGCAGACATGCGAGAGATACACAAGAATTGTATTGCCTGTGTAAACAGCCTTACGACGAATCTCAGTAAGTGCATTAAGTTACTAACAAATTATGTTAATAATAGAAATATAGTAAAAAGAAAGAAAGAGAAAATTAACTATGATACTCGACCTTTATGAAACCATGTGTAATCCCAATAGATAACAATGATAATATAATTTA